TGCTTATCATACAATATATATATATTCATTATGCTAGCCAATACGTCATTTTCGTTTATTAACCGGACGCGCTGGTTCCAAACACTCTGATAGCCCTGTAGCTTCATCACAGGTAGAGAGATGAAGGAGTGTCTCGCTAATTGCCCCCTAGCGGGAGGTCATATTATTGTCGCCATCAGTGTAATGAAGGATGCTCAAAAACAAAGATGGTGCAGTGTTTTGTTCCAGATTGTAACCAAAGAAGCGAGAACACAAGTTTCAAGTTCTTCAGATTTCCTAAATATGACCGAGAAAGAAAAAGATGGGTGGACCTTATCAGGTATTTACTTCTAATTAATTTATTAGGGATGCAAGGAAGTTTTCAGAAATAATTATGGTCAGAAAAATCATCTCCCCCATTTTAAAATGTGTGTCATTATTTGTGTTGATGCCTCAATTATACTTTACTGAGAGTCTGTGTATACAATAGCCTATAGGTAAAACAAGGCCCACTGAGTAGTAGTAAAAATAGTTTAAAATATACAAACAAATTTTGTCAATGATAATGACATCTCGGTTATATAAGTAAATGTTTTTGTTTCATAAAGCATTAATGCAACTGTCATGCACCCTTGGAATTAAAGAGACTATTTTCAAATTTTTAAAAGGGTTTATACGGTGTACCCTTTCACACTCCATATCTGAAGCTCTGATATCTGTACCTGATAATTTAAAATATCAACTTTGTATCATAGCATATGTATTCTAAATGATATTTAATATTTTTCAGATGACAAGACAGAGAACCTAGAGATGCCGACAGAGTCTGTAGTTTTCATTTTGTAAATGGTGAGAAATCTGCAGGCCCAACTATTTTCCAAAGAAATGAGAAGAAGAGATTTGAGTTTTCATCACCAGAAAAAGAGCGCAAGAGGAAGTGAGTTTGTATTTAACTTTATTAAAAGTTTTTCAGCAGTAGCATTTACAAAAACTGATGTGTTGTAAAACATGTTTTAAATCCATTTTAATTTGTGGTTGCAGTAATTAAAGGTGTATGAAAAATTATCAATCACTAGTAATGGTGAGGGGATGGGAATCTCGCACCCGAGGTATGGATTTTTTTCTATCTAAGCACGGTGAACCACGCCTTAGACAGCAAATCTATATCTATTTCCCCATCCCACACCATTACTAGTGATAGATTTTCTTAGTCAAGTATTTGTGCTTTCCTCTGTACAGTCAAATTTAGAATAAATAGTTCAAATCCTTGTTTGTAGTAACAGAATTATTTCACAAAAACTGATTATTACTACTAGTATAAACATACCTGTACCATATTTATCCTAATAAAGCCTAAAGCCAAAATAGTTTTCTATTTCATATTTAATCAACTGTGAGAAATAAGAGGAGGGGGTAAGGATAAATACAGTATGAACACAATGGATTGCCAACAAATACTCTTGGAATGGGTTAACTGAGTAAACCCAAGTTTAAAGTGGTTTTCTATTAATATAAACATGAAATTGAATGCACACTTATTTTATATTATTTTGTGTTTTTCAGGAGATTAGTATTTGCCAGTGATAACCAGGAAAATGTAACCAAGACACCACAGACACCGCTTCCAAATGCTGATGAATTCTTGGATACCACACCGGTCCACTGCAATCCAGTCTTTTCAAGGGAAACCATGAACATATTCATTGCGAATTTGGAAGAAGAGGTGAAAATGCTTACCGAAGAACTTAAATATCTGAAATTAACATTCAGTTATGAACACATCAAGAACAATGACGAGCTTGTGACTTTGTATACTGGTTTGCCAAATGCAACAGCATTTGATTGTCTGTATGACATGTGTTCCAAATTTGAAATCAATTACTACTATGAGTGGAAAGTAGAGAAGATCAGGAAAAAAGACCAACTACTGATGACTCTGATGAAACTCAGACGGAACGACCCACAACTGGATATGGCAACACGGTTTAGTGTATCTCGAGGAACAGTGCAAAACATCATTTTCACCTGGATTCATGTGTTGTACGAAATCCTATTTGTTGCTCTCATGAAGAACATTCCATCTCGTGAAAAAAACCAGGGATGTTTACCATAATGTTTTTCAACATTTTGCAACTGCCGCACTACCTTGGACTGTACTGAAGTTTACTGTGCAATTCCACAATCTTCAATGACCGATAGATATGTCACATACAGTCATTATAAATGTAAACGTATTAAATTCGTCACAGTACACAGGTACTTCTGACAGAGTGATCGTATAGTGGAATATTTTCTAGTTCGTCTTCTCTGTGGTTCTGTCTTATTATTCCATGGCTACAGACCAATAACTCGAAGACAGGAATAAAAGTTAACCGAGTTTATTAGTTACAAAAGACAAATAAACATGGAGATATTTACAATGATGAACAAGATACACCGGCTCCGACGACGGCTATGACTTTACTTGGTTACACTACCAGTTGTAAATTCTTACTATCCTAAAACAACTGCCACCCAGTTGCCCAACCCTGGGATATGTGACACTACCGTAAACCCTACCAGAACATAATAATAACTTTAAACAACTGCCTGCTAGGGGAAAATACCACCCAACCCAGAGTAATTTAGAGGTCAAAGGCCGAAAGAGTCCTACTTACCTTTCTAGGGAGAAAGAGAGCTGACCAGCTACATGAAAGCTACTGCCAGACTGACTAATACCACCCGAACACTCTGCTATATAGCTAAATTTAATAATATGCCACGAATTACACGCGAGACCTGTCACCGGAGTAGGTATAGTAATGTACAGGTGTGGTGACAAGTGCCTAAAATATTAACCAATCAGAGCCGTCTAAATAATAAAAGTGCAAGGGAATCCCCATACTGGAATATCCCTAGTAAACAAACATGGCGGCGATGTAACAGAACTCTGACAACGCATGCCAGACCCAATGATTTAACAGGGCGTAAGTACAATGAACTCACTACTTTTACATAAACACAGGAATACAATGAAAGGCCTGGTTGGAGTTGCACCAAATGGTGTTGTGACATTCATGAGTGACTTGTATCCTGGTTCTACATCTGACAAGGAAATTGTCAGACATAGTTGTGTACTTGACAAAATGGAGACAGGAGATTTAGTCATAGCAGACAAAGGATTCTTAATTTTTGATCTTGTGCCACAAGGTGTTAGCTTGAACATTCCACCCTTTCTGACAGTTCACAACTGGCAACTCTCACTAGAAGAATCGCAAGATCCCGAGTACATGTTGAACGTGCTATAAAAAGGATAAAAGGTTTCCTCATATTAGACTTCATTCCTACCAAGCTTAGCATGGAAGAATGGAGCAAAAGATGGCTTTTGCAAGTACATCCACAAAAATGTAAACATATGCGCATTGGAACTATGGATAAGGAAGAATCAACATCATATACAATCAACAACCAGGAATTAATACAAACAAATAAAGAAAAAGACATCGGTATCACAGTAGATCATAAGCTCACATTTGAAGATCATTTAAGTGAAAAAGTAAACAAGGCCAATTCCATGTTCGCCATGCTTAGGAGAACTTTTGAATACATGAACAAACAGACATTCATACCATTATACAAGTCATTAGTAAGGATTCATTTGGACTTTGCCAGTTCTGTTTGGTCGCCTTACAAAATGAAGGATATTGAAAAGCTGGAAAGTGTCCAGAGAAGATCAACTAAGCAACTGCCAGGAATGAAGGATATATCCTACCCGGAAAGGCTAGTTAAATTAAACCTTCCAACGCTTGCATATCGACGAATAAGAGGAGATATGATCGAGGCTTACAAGATTATTAGCGGAATATATGATCAGGATACCAACAGCATCTTAAAACCATGGAACAGTGCAGCAGCGAAAAACAGCAGCAGAGGAAACTCTAGAAAGATATTCCCAGAGAGATCCAGAACAAACGTTAGAAAGAACTTCTTCTCCCAACGAGTGGTCAATGTATGGAACAATTTACCTGAGAATATAGTATCAGCACCAAATATTAACACTTTTAAAAATAGACTGGATAAACATTGGGCTTCTCAAGAACTTGTTTATAATTATAAAGCTTCAATTATTTAGGAAAAAAAAAAAAAAAAAAATGTTGATTCATTGTACTTGGAACCGATAAAACAAACGCAATATAACAATTATGATAATCTAACTAACATTTATTGATGAGATGTGGAAACACATATTTATGAACATTGTATTCAAATGTATATATTTGTGTATACATGTATATATATGTATTATGGTTGGAGTCTGGTGTAGAGGGTCGAAAAATCGAGCCTGTACCAGAAATAAACTTAACTTAACTTAACTTAGGCCATATGATGATACGGTGTGGAAAGTGTGCGGTGCATTGACAAATCTTCAATTTCCACTGATAAGAGAGGTTGAGAACTTGTACTCTTAAGTTGAACATGATGATTTGTGAAAAAAACAACTGACAACATTTTGTGTTCATGTAACTATGTATATTACATTTTCAGATTTAAATGACAATTCAAAAATTGACATTATGTTGAAGTTCTGCATATATCAAATTGTCTTTAATATTTTAATATTTTATTAAAACAGAGTTATTGATAACTAAGTACATATATACAAATATTCAAAATATAAATATCAAACTAAATTGACATGGTTTACTCGTCTTTGTTATTTACATGTGATACAAAATAGCTAGTCAAACCTGTTACAATGTATAAAACACACTTGCCTACAAAATTTAGGGTAAATTATATCATACTACCAGTTACAAATTACTTTATGCAATATCAGACACTGTCAATACAAAAGTTTATTTACACAAGGCAAAATATTTTGACTGTTTAACATCCACCTTCAACCAACTTTGGAACCATTTTATCTACATAAAACTCTATCAGTTTTGGGATGTTCTGCTTTCCCCACAACTCATCTTTGTTTATTTGGACTATTAACATGTCTTTCAAAGTCCATATACAAAAAAAAAACCACATCCTTCTTAGAAAGGTGTAATTGGCCCTGTATCTGATGGTAGTATGAAACCTGAAGGTCTAGTCACTAGTCCTGTTGACTGCATGAAGGCTTCCACTGCTACAGACTCATGGTCTTTACCCCACTGAATTGCTTTCATGCCACTTAAGTCGTACTCTCCTAGCAAGCGCTTATAAAGTGATGCAGGGTAACGGTTGGTTTCTGTTGCTTTGATAACTAGTCCAAAGTTACTTGCTGTCAACCTTCCTTTTCTATACATGTACCACAAAGAACTCTCACTCTGTCCCTTTGTAACACTTTCAATGTGAGTTATATCATTGGATTTCACTTTCAACTTTTCAAGTAAGTGATTAGATTTGTCTTTAGCCTCCAAATAATCTTTTGATGTGAACACATCCTCTACAGTTTTCACTCTTTTGGTCTCTGGTTCTGGCATCAACAACCATGTAAACCCAACATGACGTCACACTTTTGAGTTGAGTTCACTGTGAAATTGGTCAACATCTTCTTTGGACGCATTTCGTTGTAGAGCAGAAAATGGTTTGGGTTTTGGGTACATCTGACCAATGGTTTTAATGTTTCTGGAATCCATTGCTTTTTTAGCCATTGACCACTTACAGCTCACTGATGTTCTACTAATGTTTTTGTTGGCATAAATCATCCCTGCAGCAATGTGCTGGCATTTCAGCTGACCTCTAGGGCAATCACACTTGGTATCTTGAACCTGCTGATCGGCACCAAGAAATACCTGAAAAACACAATTAAGAATATCTTAGAGTTGTCAAGCAGTTACAAAAGAAGTGGGACATTCCTATTATATTTTCTAAATGAGCAAATATTATTGTCAATCATTTAAGATACCTATCTTTTTAGTACAATTTCTAAAAAATCTACTGATGCTTTATCAATATTTCTGTTAGTACAAATCTACAGAAACTCAAACTTGCACGTGAGCTTATGATAACTCGAGAGACCAAACTCCTGGGGTGTACATATTGCCCTCATTAAACTAAGATGTCACGCAGACATCAAATATAATGTAACAATTTTAATATAATCTGTCCTGGCCTGTCAGTTCGTGGTACATGTTATTATACGAATATCTGACAACCCTTATTTAGTAACATTTGAAATAGGAAACTGAACAATATTTATACAGTCAAACTTGTATATATCATATATAAGGGACGATAGAAAATAGGTTCTTAATTAAAGGATGAAATTAACTGTTAATAAAATTTGCTGTACACTGGCCTTTACATAGATGACCCCTATAGCAGTTGATAAGTTGTTAAACTTAAAGGCTAATAGAGAATTGAATTGAAACTTGACATTTCAGTTGGTTTTACTGTATATATCCAATGGTTGACATACACATAAACATTGGAGACTGCAAGTGAAACTGTGAATGTGATTTTCAATGTACAACTCCGATGAATTTAAATATCATTCATATACTATATTTGGATTTAATCATTCATAGAAGTAAGACTGAGTAATAAACTGAAAGCCGAGTTGGGCCAGTGACATAAATAAACTGTAACCTCATGGGCCAGTAACACATTAAGTAATAAACTGAAACCTCAGTTGGGCCAGTGACATAAATAAACTGTAACCTCATGGGCCAGTAACACTATAAGTAATATAACTGAAAATTCCATTGGGCCAGTGACATAGTAATAAACTGAAAGAGTTGGGCCAGTTTCATACAATAAACTGTAACCTATGGGCCAGTAATTATATAATATAATAAACTACCGAGTTGGGCCAGTGACATAAATAAACTGTAACCTCATGGGCCAGTAACACATTAAGTAATAAACTGAAAGCCGAGTTGGGCCAGTGACATAAATAAACTGTAACCTCATGGGCCAGTAACACATTAAGTAATAAACTGAAACCCGAGTTGGGCCAGTGACATAAATAAACTGTAACCTCATGGGCCAGTAACACATTAAGTAATAAACTGAAACCCGAGTTGGGCCAGTGACATAAATAAACTGTAACCTCATGGGCCAGTAACACATTAAGTAATAAACTGAAACCCGAGTTGGGCCAGTGACATAAATAAACTGTAACCTCATGGGCCAGTAACACATTAAGTAATAAACTGAAACCCGAGTTGGGCCAGTGACATAAATAAACTGTAACCTCATGGGCCAGTAACACATTAAGTAATAAACTGAAACCCGAGTTGGGCCAGTGACATAAATAAACTGTAACCTCATGGGCCAGTAACACATTAAGTAATAAACTGAAAGCCGAGTTGGGCCAGTGACATAAATAAACTGTAACCTCATGGGCCAGTAACACATTAAGTAATAAACTGAAACCTCAGTTGGGCCAGTGACATAAATAAACTGTAACCTCATGGGCCAGTAACACATTAAGTAATAAACTGAAACCCGAGTTGGGCCAGTGACATAAATAAACTGTAACCTCATGGGCCAGTAACACATTAAGTAATAAACTGAAACCCGAGTTGGGCCAGTGACATAAATAAACTGTAACCTCATGGGCCAGTAACACATTAAGTAATAAAATGAAACCCGAGTTGGGCCAGTGACATAAATAAACTGTAACCTCATGGGCCAGTAACACATTAAGTAATAAACTGAAACCCGAGTTGGGCCAGTGACATAAATAAACTGTAACCTCATGGGCCAGTAACACATTAAGTAATAAACTGAAACCCGAGTTGGGCCAGTGACATAAATAAACTGTAACCTCATGGGCCAGTAACACATTAAGTAATAAACTGAAACCCGAGTTGGGCCAGTGACATAAATAAACTGTAACCTCATGGGCCAGTAACACATTAAGTAATAAACTGAAAAAGTTGGGCCAGTGACATAAATAAATAAATAACACATTAAGTAATAACCTCAGTTGGGCCAGTAACACAACTGTAAGGCCAGTAACACATTAAGTAATAAACTGAAGGCCAGTAACACATTAAGTAATAAACTGAAAGCCAAGTTGGGCCAGTGACATAAATAAACTGTAACCTCATGGGCCAGTAACACATTAAGTAATAAACTGAAATCCGAGTTGGGCCAGTGACATAAATAAACTGTAACCTCATGGGCCAGTAACACATTAAGTAATAAACTGAAAGCCGAGTTGGGCCAGTGACATAAATAAACTGTAACCTCATGGGCCAGTAACACATTAAGTAATAAACTGAAACCCGAGTTGGGCCAGTGACATAAATAAACTGTAACCTCATGGGCCAGTAACACATTAAGTAATAAACTGAAATCCGAGTTGGGCCAGTGACATAAATAAACTGTAACCTCATGGGCCAGTAACACATTAAATAATAAACTGAAACCCGAGTTGGGCCAGTGACATAAATAAACTGTAACCTCATGGGCCAGTAACACATTAAGTAATAAACTGAAATCCGAGTTGGGCCAGTGACATAAATAAACTGTAACCTCATGGGCCAGTAACACATTAAGTAATAAACTGAAAGCCGAGTTGGGCCAGTGACATAAATAAACTGTAACCTCATGGGCCAGTAACACATTAAGTAATAAACTGAAACCCGAGTTGGGCCAGTGACATAAATAAACTGTAACCTCATGGGCCAGTAACACATTAAGTAATAAACTGAAAGCCGAGTTGGGCCAGTGACATAAATAAACTGTAACCTCATGGGCCAGTAACACATTAAGTAATAAACTGAAAGCCGAGTTGGGCCAGTGACATAAATAAACTGTAACCTCATGGGCCAGTAACACATTAAGTAATAAACTGAAACCCGAGTTGGGCCAGTGACATAAATAAACTGTAACCTCATGGGCCAGTAACACATTAAGTAATAAACTGAAACCCGAGTTGGGCCAGTGACATAAATAAACTGTAACCTCATGGGCCAGTAACACATTAAGTAATAAACTGAAACCCGAGTTGGGCCAGTGACATAAATAAACTGTAACCTCATGGGCCAGTAACACATTAAGTAATAAACTGAAAGCCGAGTTGGGCCAGTGACATAAATAAACTGTAACCTCATGGGCCAGTAACACATTAAATAATAAACTGAAACCTCAGTTGGGCCAGTGACATAAATAAACTGTAACCTCATGGGCCAGTAACACATTAAGTAATAAACTGAAACCCGAGTTGGGCCAGTGACATAAATAAACTGTAACCTCATGGGCCAGTAACACATTAAGTAATAAACTGAAACCCGAGTTGGGCCAGTGACATAAATAAACTGTAACCTCATGGGCCAGTAACACATTAAGTAATAAACTGAAACCCGAGTTGGGCCAGTGACATAAATAAACTGTAACCTCATGGGCCAGTAACACATTAAGTAATAAACTGAAAGCCGAGTTGGGCCAGTGACATAAATAAACTGTAACCTCATGGGCCAGTAACACATTAAGTAATAAACTGAAATCCGAGTTGGGCCAGTGACATAAATAAACTGTAACCTCATAGGCCAGTAACACATTAAATAATAAACTGAAATCTGAGTTGGGCCAGTGACATAAATAAACTGTAACCTCATGGGCCAGTAACACATTAAGTAATAAACTGAAACCCGAGTTGGGCCAGTGACATAAATAAACTGTAACCTCATGGGCCAGTAACACATTAAGTAATAAACTGAAAGCCGAGTTGGGCCAGTGACATAAATAAACTGTAACCTCATGGGCCAGTAACACATTAAGTAATAAACTGAAACCTCAGTTGGGCCAGTGACATAAATAAACTGTAACCTCATGGGCCAGTAACACATTAAGTAATAAACTGAAACCCGAGTTGGGCCAGTGACATAAATAAACTGTAACCTCATGGGCCAGTAACACATTAAGTAATAAACTGAAACCTCAGTTGGGCCAGTGACATAAATAAACTGTAACCTCATGGGCCAGTAACACATTAAATAATAAACTGAAACCCAAGTTGGGCCAGTGACATAAATAAACTGTAACCTCATGGGCCAGTAACACATTAAGTAATAAACTGAAACCCGAGTTGGGCCAGTGACATAAATAAACTGTAACCTCATGGGCCAGTAACACATTAAGTAATAAACTGAAACCCGAGTTGGGCCAGTGACATAAATAAACTGTAACCTCATGGGCCAGTAACACATTAAGTAATAAACTGAAACCCGAGTTGGGCCAGTGACATAAATAAACTGTAACCTCATGGGCCAGTAACACATTAAGTAATAAACTGAAACCCGAGTTGGGCCAGTGACATAAATAAACTGTAACCTCATGGGCCAGTAACACATTAAGTAATAAACTGAAACCCGAGTTGGGCCAGTGACATAAATAAACTGTAACCTCATGGGCCAGTAACACATTAAGTAATAAACTGAAACCCGAGTTGGGCCAGTGACATAAATAAACTGTAACCTCATGGGCCAGTAACACATTAAGTAATAAACTGAAAGCCGAGTTGGGCCAGTGACATAAATAAACTGTAACCTCATGGGCCAGTAACACATTAAATAATAAACTGAAACCTCAGTTGGGCCAGTGACATAAATAAACTGTAACCTCATGGGCCAGTAACACATTAAGTAATAAACTGAAACCCGAGTTGGGCCAGTGACATAAATAAATAAACTGTAACCTCATGGGCCAGTAACACATTAATAAAATGAAACCCGAGTTGGGCCAGTGACATAAATAAACTGTAACCTCATGGGCCAGTAACACATTAAGTAATAAACTGAAACCCGAGTTGGGCCAGTGACATAAATAAACTGTAACCTCA